AGTCCACAGCGGAAGCTGCCTCAGGCCATACCTGGTTCTTACAGGCCCAAGACTGTACCAGGACATAAGCATTGCTGAGACCTCAGATTCTCTCCAAAGGATGAGACTTCAGAAAATGAAGGGTGGTGTCTGTCTCTGTCCTCTAACTCCTGCCAGTGTGTTGAATTGGGAAGCAGAGAAAGTGCAGAACCCTCCCATCAGATTGGGCCAAAGACCTCACTCAGATGCCCCCTGCTTCTGGGAAGAAATGGTGCTGAAGCCCTGAGTGTGCATCTGAGCAAAAACAAGAAACAGTTGCCCAGTACCAATCATCTTACCAAGTCACCCAGGCAGGCCCACTGCGACCGCTGACTGGCAGGCAACTTGGGCTCCCGGGTGCCCTCCAGAATTGCCAGGTCTAGGCTCTCAAGTGCAACCAGACAGACCCCTACACCCAAGCTTTTGCTGCTGGGTTGGGGGTGTCCCTGCACACCACACATGTTTATGTCAGCGCCCCCTTATCTTATATGTAATAGCAATATATATGTTAATTGAAAACTTCTGAATTTAAAAAGGTTGTGACAAGTTATAATTTGTCCTGTCAATGCCTGGAATCCTTATTTATCTCTTTAGCTTGCCTCCCCGCTCACGCCTGTCAGCTAACAGCTTGCCTAACTCATGACTTCCTCACTCATGGCACGGAAATGACAAATGTGCTGTTTTATCCGTACAATTTATTTCATTATTGTTGCCAGCACGAAACATCACAATCAATCATAAGGAAGTCCAGTTGGCAGGTGTCAATCTTGGTGTGTTTTGCACATCTCAGTCTATATTTAATCCAATTATAAGGGTCACAGAGTAAGTGCCAATCCTCTTGTTACAACTCACATCTTATTTAAGATTTAAAGTAAAAAAGTCAACTCAATCACATGGACCTTTGGGGGAAAGGAAGGGATGCCTTTCAAATCTCCCTATCTCTCTCTTACCCGGCTTTGCTCCTCCTCATCCCCAGTTCAAGTATCTTAGCCATCTCTTTTTATTAAGAGAGTTACAGGGAATTCGAGTTTTATGAGCATTTGTGTGCAAATGAAGCCTCTCCTTATTTTGCTAGAGTAGAAGCAGGCTTAATGATGAGAGATCTTTCCGCTCATTGCCCATTCAAATACAATTGTAGATCGAAGCCGGCCTTGTCACGTTGAGAAAAAGTGAGTTTCTAACATCCAGGACGTGCCTGTCTACTTTCAGCGAATTGCATCCAATCACCCCCAGGGAATTCAGCTAATGTCTCAGTCTCCACCCAACAAGCAAGAGAAGAACTCAAACGTGGGGCATAGACCGACTGACTGTGGAAATGCTTAGAAGGAAAGCAGATGTAGAATCTTCTGGAACTAATTGTAATAGAGACTTTTAAGGACGTGATGATTTTCCTGAATGTTTAAGAAAACTTTGGTAGGATAGAATAAACGGAAGAGAGGAGAAACTAAGAGTCTTTTTTTAACAAACAGAAACGGTCATTGACATGCAGAGAAACCAGAGAATTGCATATAATTGTGCCATTATGCAGCCCTTTTGACCGGGGCCAAAGAGATGGCAAATATTATCTTTGCGAAAAAATTCCCTTTGACACTCGGATTCACAAACCATTCCTTCAATTTTGATTTTAAATAAAATTCTTGTTAAAACAAGTATGCCGTTTAAAGGGGAGGAAACGAAGGTGGGAGAAGGAAGAACAAGAACCATACGTGCAGCTCAGTAACTTAGATTTCTTAGATGATAGATGGATTTTTGGCTTGTGTAACTATTTGAAATGAGACAGAAATATACACAGTATATTTTTCCGCCTCCATAGACCAGGACGTTTCCCTCTCTCTCTCTGCATTCTTCTTTGAAAAAGCTTTATCAACTCACTTAACGAATTAGCAGCCAGCCACAAATAATATATTTTAGATAAAAGTTATCAAAATGCATTACCATTGAAATTTAGAAAAAGCAGATCGAAATATTAAAGTGAAGGGGACCCCATTTCTACTTTACAATTGCTCGTAGACAAATGGCCATCTCAGAAAAAGGGCAAAAACTAAATCAATTCACCAAAGAGTTGGGCAGATTCCTTGGAGGGATTGGCCCAACTTCGAAGTCCTTTGATTTACAAAAATAGTTAAGGAAGGAAAGAGGGAGAAAGAAAAAGACAAAGAGAGACGAAAAGAGAGAGAGAAAAGAGAGGACTTACATACCTTGGACTAGAACAACAGATCTCAGAGTTCAAGCCAAGAATGTAACTCTCAATCCAGCCAAGCCTTGCTCTCTAATCTAACCCCCTCACCTCCTGGCTCCATTCACCAACCCTACCCTGAATACTTTGAAGCCTTTCACCCCAGACCCCTGTTTGGGCTTGTTCGGAGCCCTGGGATGAGGGTGACCTAAGAGTCTTCCGCGAGTCAGGCTACCACTGAACTCGCTCCCAGCGGCCACGGCCGAGAACCAGGACTCCGGGCTGCCCTGGGTGTCTCAGAATTGCAGACTGGACCAATTCAAACTGGGAAGAAGCCTAGAAGAAACCTTATTTCTTTTCTGATTCTGTCCCTTGGACCCTACCTACTATCTGTCACAAGTCACATTCCGCGCTGTAGGCTTGGGGCTTGCCTGCGGCACACACCCCTCCCGCGCCACCTGCGGTGCCCTGAGTCTGCACTTCTGACTGGCGAGGCCTAGAGAGGTTAATGTTGCCCAGAAGGGCCAAGCCGAGCAGAGGCCTGTCCATCTGCCCCCAAGGCTGGTGGCAGGAGTGCCCTGGGTTCAGATTGCGAGAGTGCTTGCGGAGCGGGGAGCGGGGTGATTAGAGGGAGAGACCTCAAGAACTACAGGGGTGCAGACAAATCTGCGCCCTCGCGGATGGCGAGCCAGGCACGGGGCCTCCGCCCTCCTTCTGCGGCCCAGGGCAAATGGAGAGAGGCTCCTGTGTTGGCCTGGAGTTGGGAGGCCCAGGTCCGGCCTCGCCTCCGCCACCGCGCACGCCCTTTATTGACAGGCAGATAAGCAGGCGCGCCCGCGGCGTTTCCAGTGCGCTCTCGAGCACCCTGCTGGGTTGCAGGGATCCGCGCGCACTTAATGGCCTGGACGCCAAACAAGCCCGGAGCAGCCCTCCCGGAGGCCTCTGGCCCCGACTGGAGGGAGGGGTGGGGGAGGCACGAACGAATGAGGGGCGCTGGAAGGCCTACCCAGGCCGGAGCCTTTCCGCCGCCCAGACTTGATGGTGGGGTCGGGGAGGCCACAGGTCAGCCAGAGGGCTAAGGGCTGACAGCGAGGGGCTTACCGAAAAAACAGGTCAAAGTGGAAACTAGAGGGAGGCGGCAGAGCTTTCTGTAAGTGCTTCCCCCTATCCTATCAAACGCTCACCAGAGCTTGGAGCGACAGAACCAGGCCGGGTCTAGGCCCTGCCTAAAGTGGCAGGTGGATGCCTCTTGCCCCTGACTAAGTAAGGGTGACTAGGGTAGAGAAGAGTGTGGAAAGAAAAAGATTTGGGAATATAGGAGAATAAATTAGGGCACCGCGGAGACTTATATGCCAATCAGAGCCCTTTCTCCTCCCCACTTCCATGCTGCCCTCTGGGCCTCAGCTGTCTCACGAAGAGGGGAAAACTCAAGTCCAAGTCTAGCTAGGAGCCGCCAGGCCGGGGCAGGCAGGAGAGCTGCCGGGAGCCGCCTCCTGGTTCCGTTGCGAGGCCCTGCACCTGTCAAGGTGTGCCCGGGGCTGGAGCGGGAGCCGCCTCGGGTCATCTGTGCCCCACTAGCCCTGGCCACCTCCTTCCCAGCCAACGCGGGGCCCGGGCCTGGTGACCTCTCCACCTCCTCCTCGCTCCTCCAGTTCCACCGCGGCTGCCTCTCCCACGAAGTGCCTGCAAGCAACTCACACCCTCTCCTCCTCCCCAAATGTCCCCTGCCCCTGAACTCTGTCACTTGAAAGTTCCAGCGCCTTACCCCCACCCCCATGCAGTCAGGGTGGGAGGGAACTAGAAGCATGAAAGCCCCCTCCTTTCTTCAGGAGAACACCTTAATGACAACATGGGTCAACTTCCCCATGACAGATCGCCGCCGGCTCGCTAAGTCGTCACAGCCTGGACTGTGGTTGTAAGAGAGGCAGGCACGCGTCAATAGGCCACTGTCTTGCTAGTCTCTCCCCAATTACTGTTGTTTCGGCAGCCCCAGGAAGCAGAATCTTGACTTCAGAATCTGGGATTCCCCCCCACCCCAGTTTCCTCCTCTAGGCTACAAAGTCAACTGTTAACCCCAAGTCAAAGATAATAAAATCATCTGCATTTTCTACGTGCCCGGAGCCTTTCAGCCCAAGGGCGAGGGAAGCCCAGTCTGGATTCCCGTCATGAGAATCCAGCGGAGCTGGGGAGGATTGCATCTGGCCTAGAAGTAGAGACCCCCTCGCCCTCTCCCGTGAGCCTCCCGTCTGTGTCCAGTCAGGGACTTGGGAGTTCGAGGACTAAGCTAGGGGTACCCATGGCCCTTCTCTCTTCCTGAAACAGACTTCCTCCAGCTGCCCCCTCGCAGCCCTGGCAGGGCCTGGGGATAGAACTCGGACGATGGCAGAAAGGGCAAGGTGAGCATCCGGAGAAGTAGCTGGTGGCCTAGGTGCTGGGACCCTGCGATCCACGTGCCCGGCACGGTGGCGCGAGCGCGCTCGGCTGCAAGCGTTTCCTTGGGGGTCGATCTCGGCCCGAAGGAGGGCGGGGCAGGCCGGGCCCGCAGAGCCAGGCAGCCCGGGGCTGGCCCGGGAGGGCCCGGCGGGGCCCTGCGGCCGGCGGCGTGGGAGGGAGAGGCCGGGCCGGGTGAATGGTCGCCAGCGCCGAGCTGAGCCCAACTCTGGCCTCCGTGACGTCACGTGGGCCGGGCAGCCAATGAGGGCAGCTCTGGCTTGGATATTAAGGAAAGTTAGCGCCTGCTCCGGCACCCTCTTTTCTTATCATTGACATTTAAACTCTGGGGCAGGTCCTCGTGTCCAACGCGGCTGTCAGATCTGCCACTTTCCCTGCCGAACGGCGGTGAGAAGTGTGGGAACCCGCGCCGCCAGGCTCACCTGCCTCCCCGCCCTCCGCTCCCAGGTAACCGCGCAGGCTCCGGGCCGGCCCCGCTCCGGGCCTGGGGCGCTGCCCCGCTCCCTGCCACTGGAGCCCCCAAAGCCGGGCCCGCCCAGCGTCTAGGGGGCTTAGTGCTCGCTTTTCAAAGGAGGCATGCAAAGCTTGCGGGGAGTTCCGGAGGAGGGCTGGGACGAAGCAGAGGGAGGGCTGTCTTGTCTTTACTAAACGTGCTTTTCTGCAAAGGTGGCAAAATTTCCTAGTCTCCATAGTGGACTTCCAGTGGGAACCTGAGTTGGCGGGGGTGGTGGGGGGCACAGCAGCGACCCTCCGCAGGAGCCACTCGAGACCCTGAGGAGTGCAGGAGGTGGGTGCAGTCTGCACCTAGCTCCCCTCCGGTGAGCACGAGTGGAGAGGTCCCCGCGCCCGCGCTCGCGGAGCGCCCCGCTGCAGGCCGAGGCCGAAGTTTGCTGCGGTTGCAGAGTGTGAATGGTCGGACCGCAGCAAAGTCGTGGAGACCTGGGTCGTTTGGAGAAAGGAGCGGAGGACGAAAGAATGCGACCAGCAGAGCTGGGCAGCGCGCAAAGCCCCAGCGTGTGATTTGAGCTTCACTTCGGAAGACCTAATAATTAGCGATTCCCACTGAGCTAGAACGGGGCTCGGGTTACAGCGGCCGCTGCGCCCGCTGCCTCGGCGGGAAGCTCGTGGGCCTTAGAGGAGCCGGGCTGCTGAGTGCCCAGGATGGGGACCCCGCGCCCTCTCGCCCTGGCACGGCCAGAACCGGGCGCTTCCCCCAAGCAAGTCAGGGAAGGAACAGCCTCAGACTTAGTCTAACTTCGGGTTCCGTGAGGCAAACGTCCTGAGAGTCCAGCTCCTAGTGTCAGTGTCTCCAAGGCAGGTTTAGAGGGGCAGGGGACAACCCTCCCTGGGAAGTTGAAGTGGCCTCCAGCTCTGGCCTGGCCTCACCCCACCCCTACTCCCAGCCGCGCACCTGACACCCCCTCTCCATACTTTCCTGAGACTCCTTCAGGGAATGCGTGGATCGTAGGCACCTGTGACAGGTGCCTGGGACCCCGCCTGGCGCCGAGCCGCGGGCTGGCCCCTGGCTCCTCTCCGGGGACCAGGGACAGACTCCAGCGGCCGCCTGGGCGCGCGCCTTACCTGGCTGATCCTCTGCGGAGCAGGCTGCTTTCCCCGGAGCTGGGCGCCGAGCAGGTTGCCTGCCTCGCAGTGGGAAGTGGACCTTCTCCTCCAGTCATAAATCAAACCCATCCATCCCCGGGCCTCCTCCCTCATTAGAGATGTTTATTGGAGATTGTGTTTATTCGGCTGTCATGGCGAGAGAACGCGGTGACATAATTACCTCTGACCAGAGTGCACACTCCGTGCCCTCCTTGGTCCGCCGCTGATGTGGTTGGCTTGTCTTTTTTTCCCCGTTTCCCCCTCTAGACCTTTTCACAAATTTTAGATTATTGAATGAGTCACTCTTCAGATTTCCCCATGACTTGGGCATTGATTTATTTGATAATTTGAAAGAAAACCCAAAGAGAGTCCGATGCCCGACAGAAGGGGGCAGCCCGGGAGAGAGCGAAAGAAGGCCCTTCTCGGCGCCTAAACTTTCCCCCGGGGCGGGGGGGGGGTGCGGCGCGGTGGCGGCATGCGGGGGGCCGGGGCGCGGCTGGGGAGTGGGGGCTGTCCCCAAGAGGTGACTGCTGAGATTGGTGGCATTCTTAGTTGCTTTGGTTTTCATTCTCTGGCCATTTGGAAGGCTTTAAGGCCCCAAGATGAGGATTCTTAAACTCAGGGGAGCAGACGGACCCACAGCTTTTTCCCCCACCCCCTGCACCTTGGCCCTCAGGCTGCCCCCTAGGAGTGGGTCACCCCCACCCTACTCTATCCCACAACGACGAGTCCGGGATTATGAATCTGTGAGGCTGGGGTTAGGAAGTGATGAAAAACGTCGAATTGTTCCCTAATTGAAAATACTTTTTTTTTTTTTTTTGAGACCGCGCTGACAAATATCTGGGATCCTGGCTTTTAGCCTTCGCCGCGGCCTCTGTTCTCCAGTCGCTAATAAAACTCGCATTGAGCCCTTCAGTGCCTTGATTAACAGGCAGATTAACTCTTACGGAGGTTGGGAACAGCTTGTCCCAATCAATGTCATTTTAAAAGCCCGTCAGGATGCGCTTAACTCTGGTTCCCTCGCTGCTCGAGCGAGCGAACCAGCCATGACATTCACTCCCCCCGCCCGACTTCAAAGCCCCCTGTGCCCAGCGCGCTCCCGCTCCGCTGAGAGCGAGTCGCCGGGCTCTGTCCCTAGGTTTTTGAACAGAGAGATCTGGGAGGGGAAGGGACTGAGGGAACTTTGGCTTGCTTTTCGTTTGAAGTTTAGAATCTTGGTGGGGTGGATGTTGGCGGGGAGAGATTTGGGAGACCATCCCACAAGGAGAGATAGAAAGCAAACTTTTTAGGCTCCTATTCGCAAAATCAGAGAGTGCGGCCGGTTGCAAGTGACCTTCACACCAGGACTGATAAACTCGGCTTCTCTAAAAACAAGCAGGCAAGCAAGTGCTGGGAGGCCAAGTCTAGGGAACTGGACCCACAGAGGAGGGAGATATAGCTGGACAATGGTTCTTGAAGCATTTTTCCTGGTATTGGGAGAGAGAGATCTTTGCCAGCCCTTGTTAATGGAAGAGGACTGAGCCCAGAGAGTCCTGCTGTCCTCGCCATTTGACAGAAGGCAAGGATGGCGAGGGCAGCAGGGTCCCCAGCCGAGCGTGGCCACAGCCTGGAGGCGCCATTCCTCTGGCTCTGGCCCTCCTCGGCTTGAGCGAGCTCAGAGCTCCGCGATGCTGCTGCCTGGCTGGAACCCACTAGAGGGATGGGGAAAGGAGAGAAGGTAAAGCCCGCATCCCAGCAGGGGAGGCTCTCCTTTCGGGCCGCAAGCTGGGGGGGGGTGCCTCTTTGTCTTTCGTGCTCCTTTTGACCTGTCTCGCCCGCCCCACAGTTTGGGGAAGCCCACCTCTCTAAGGGTAGTAAAGCGGAAGCCGTCTAGGGGGTGCGCATAATGACGCAGGTGTTTGTAGAGTCCTTACCCCTCCAAAGAAATGCCTGCCGCCACCTCTCCCATTGCGCCTGCACCGCGTCTGTACGTGGCAAGGAGTGGGTGGAGAAGAGCGGGGGGTTCAGACTCCAGGTTCCAAGGCCCAACAAGCACCCTCGGGAATTGGGCACTGCTGGCACCCCAGGGCGAATGATAGGGGAACAGGCAAACGCTCGGGCGGGGCATGGGATGAGACCAGACTTCACTCTTAAGCTCTAACCCGGGCCGCAGGCTCCGGGGCGCTCAGTGATCCCCTGTCATGACTTCCTTCCGGGCAGAGCGACCCCAGCTGCCCCAGCGGAACAGGCAGGCCTAGTAGGCCATAGAGGTTCCCTCCACCGGCGCCGCGGGGTGGAGGAGTCTGGGCGAGGTGGGGAAAGTCTGCACAGCAAGCTCTTGGTGCCATGGAGGGCAACCAAGGGGCCCGTGTGAGTTGGAGGAGGACAAAATTAAAATGGCGACCTGAAAGTGGCCTGAATTTTGAGCACACCTCAGTCCCAGGCTGGCCGCGTCTCGCCCCTAGCCCCCCAGCTCCACCCAGCAGGGTCACCCCCAGGGCAGATACTTGGCAAAGGGGGCGAGCGAGGTACCCCACGAGGTCGGTCGAATTGCACCTCCAGGCTCCTCAAAGCCAGTTTAGAAACTGCAAAGCAATCTGCCTCACCATCCTTCTCTCCTTAACTTTGAAAACTCGGAACCCCTTCCGGGCTGAGCCGCCCTCCACACCGCCCCCCCCCCCCCAGCTGACACTTCAGGAGCAGCCTAGTCTTTTCGGTTTCTGGTTTGCGCAGAGGGGTTTGCAAGAGTCCTTCCCCGGCGCCCGCCCCCACTTAATGACGTCAGTGGCACTCACGCCTCGCTCCTCGCCTCTTATGATTTTTTGTTGTTAAAACTTTTCTGCGAGGTGGGGGTTGGGGTGGGAGCAGGAGCTGATTCAAAGAGCCGGTGCCCTGGGGGGAAATAGCAACAAGATTAAGGCTGCTTCTTTCCGAGGTAAAAGCTTAAGAAGGTGCTAATCCATTCGGTCGCTAATTGAGAGGTTGTAAAAATTATATTCTCCTTCCAGATCGGACAGTCACTGGGCCGTCTCCCCCCTGCTGCCCAATAGACTTGATTTCAAGCTGCTTTAATTCTGTTCAGAGACGTAAAAAGGGAGAACGCAGGTTCTCTCTGGTCTGCGCGAGCCAGACCCACTGACCCACATCCTGGGATCCTCTGAAAGTCGCGGTCCTACGAAATCGCGCGCGGAAGGCCGCGAACCCCAGCTCTCGGCGCAGACTTCTTGCTTCTGGCCTGTCGCTGAGACGTTTTGGGTTGCGGGAAGGAGCCAAGCCACTGCCTGCTGGCCCGGGTCCCAGCTGTTGTCGAGGCCAGGGAGCTGAGTGGGTGCCTCGGCTTTGATCCTGGCCCAGACTGGAGAGGGCCCCGCTGCCTCGGAGCTCTGCCTGTTTCGTAGGTCAGAACGTTACTGGGTTCCCAGGAAGGCGAGGGTGTGCGGCCCACACCAGGCCTGGCGTCCGGCAACAGCCTGCAGCCTCAGGGCTCCAAGGGACGGCCGCAGCGCGGCCTGTCTGCGCCAGCCACCTTCAGGGCGTGCAGACTTTTTTGATGAGCTCTGACTTTCAGCACTTTCCATGAGTGTCAAGAGGAGTCAAGTGTAGGCTGAATCTTTCTGCCTTAATCCCTCCATCCTGTTCCCCTTTCCTGGGGGCCTGGGGTGCATCCTGGGGTGGCCAGGCCTTCTTCCTCCTGGCACCAGGACCCTCAGGCTGTGGACAGCGCAGGCCGATGTGACCGCTCCCTCCTCTGTCACCTTAACTGCAAGCACGGAGGGGCGCCTTTGGAGTGTACTGAGGTGTATCCTAATCGTCCGGCATTCAACAAATGGACTTCTGGTGTGTGGTCAGAAGAGAAAAGTCATTTACTTACTTTCCTCCTTGGTTTTCTGGCAACAGCTGAAAGAGAGCTGCCTCCGTGGACTGAGGAGACCCGGGAGAGGGAATTGTAGTGAGGAAAGAGGGTAACCACGCAGGGATGACCAGTGGCACACACTGACACACTGACATTGCTGGCGAGAAGACACACATACACGCGCGTGCGGGGGCGCGCGCGCGCACACACACACACACACACACACACACACGCACACACACATTCTCTCCCAGTATTGGTCATGGGGGGGCCCTCCCAGCCTCCAATACCCTCTCATAACCCCCCTCTCCCTTCTCTCTGGTGCCTGGAAGAGCAGCAGCACTTAGTCAACAAACGGCACGTGGGAGAAGTTGGTGAGTGTTTGGTGAGGACTCTTCAGGGCTTTTCACAAGAACTCTCTGTACACAAAATAAGTGGCGTGTTTACTTGGGCCTCTCCAGCCCCGGCTGGGCCTCCGCTCCGCTGCGCAGCGCGGCTTCAGAATGGAGAGAGAAGAAAAGGCGCAGGGAACAGGGTGGGGGAATGGGCTGGCTCGGGAGGCCCGGGCTGGGGAGGCCGCTGGGCCTTGCTGAGTTGCAGGGCCGCAGGACTTCCCTCAGCTTTGGTGGCGGCCTCTATTGCCCGGGCAGAGCTCCCAGTACACAGCACTGCCCCAGCCCTTTCCTCTTCTTCCCAGAGACCAGGTGCTCTACGGCGCGGCCACCGCCGAGCTCTGCTTGCTGGGACCCAGGCCCGGATGGAACTGTGGCGGGAGGGGATGGCGGGGGCGGGGCGGCAGGCCACGCTGCGCTGGAATTGGGATGAAAGAGCCGCGCTGAGCTGCAAAAACTTGCTCTCTCCGTGGGCTGGGGGCCCTGCGCTCAGCCTGCAGGGGCAGGGGGCGCGTACCCCAGTCCAGAGGCCTGCACTCGACCTCTCAGGCTTGCGGACTCTGTGCGAACCGGGCTGACTGTCCGAGCGCGCCGAGCCGGGAGATGTCGGTGAGCACCAGAGTCCGGGCGTGGGGGCCCAGCGCCGGGGAGAGGAGCCGGGACCCACCAGCAGAGCCGAAAACAAGTGTATTCATATTCAAACAAACGGACCAATTGCACCAGGCGGGGAGAGGGAGCATCCAATCGGCTGGCGCGAGGCCTCGGCGCTGCTTTGCATAAAGCAATATTTTGTGTGGGAGCGAGCGGTGCATTTGCATGTTGCGGAGTGATTAGTGGGTTTGAAAAGCGAACCGTGGCTCGGCCTCATTTCCCGCTCTGGTTCAGGCGCAGGAGGAAGTGTTTTGCTGGAGGATGATGACAGAGGTCAGGCTTCGCTAATGGGCCAGTGAGGAGCGGTGGAGGCGAGGCCGGGCGCCGGCACACACACATTAACACACTTGAGCCATCACCAATCAGCATAGGTGTGCTGGCTGCAGCCACTTCCCTCACCCACACTCTTTATCTCTCACTCTCCAGCCGCTGACAGCCCATTTTATTGTCAATCTCTGTCTCCTTCCCAGGGATCTGAGAATTGCTCACACACACCAATCCAGCAGCGTCCGCGGAGCAAAGTCTCACTGGCAACTCCTTTAAAACACCGTCATTTCAAACCGTTGTGGTCTTTAAGCAACAACAACAGGAGGAAAAAAAAAAAAAAAATCCCAACCAAACTCTTGACAGGAGCTTTGACAACGAGAGAGGATGCCACATAAAGGTGAGTCCGCTCCTTTCTTCTTGCTTCATTTTTCTTGCAGTATTCAGGCAGGTCTCCCCCTTCTTCCCCCTTCCTTCCTCCCCTATCGCCGGTCCCCTCCCCCACTGCTACGTCGGGAGAGTTGGGCCGAAGAAGTTTCCACGCAGAAGCCCAAACTTTCTACTTCCAGCGAAAGCCCGCGTCGGAGGGTGACGGCCGGCTAGCTGGAGGGGAGCAGGGCTCGAGGCGGGCGGCCGCTCAGCCTTAGCACCAGCGCCAGCTCGGGCTGAGCTCGCAGGCACGACCGAGGCTCCAAGCACAGCCACCACCGCTGCGCCCGACCCCGGCGTCGCCCCCCTGCTCTCGGCTGGAGGGAGAGGACGAACCCGCTGTGCGGAGCTCAAAGCTCGGGAACGGCCGCAGAGACCAGTCACTGCGGGCTGCTTTGTCCAGCTCGGGGCCCAGCGAGCGCGCAGAGAGCGAGCGCGCCGAGGGAGCCTGCTAGCCGCGCCGCCGGCCCGCCCTCCGGCTTTGTGCCGCGCACAGCTCGGGTGCAGAAGAGCCGGCGGGCGAGAGAGCGCAGAGGGGCCACTGAGCCCGCCGCCAGCCGCGCCAAGCCAGCCTGCCAGGCAGCTACACGCTGGAGGCGGCGAGAAATAGCAAGCGAGCGCGAGCCGGCAAGGAAGGCGCCAGGCCGAGGCGGTGGAGGCGCGCTCCGAGGGAGCTAAGAGCCAACCTGGAGACTGTCAGCTGCAAGCAAGCCTCGCGCCTCGGGCCCGCAACTTAACTTGAGCGCGCCTACCTAGAAACTTTCAGTCTCTGCTCCTAAGGCTTCTCCCAATCCTCTCCCTCGCCCTGTGAAAGCTCGGGTCAGCCCGTTTCTCCTGCTCTTCGCGCTCGGTGGGTATTCTTATCTTACTCTGTACACAAGGCTCCCGGTGTTGCCATTTCAACAAGTTCTGAAGTGGAAAGGTAGTCGATTTCCCCCGCTTCTCTAATCCGATTTTTTTTTTTCTTTTGTGAGACCTTAAAAAAAAAAAATCTATGTGAAAGCATTGGCTTTCCTCTGGTCTGATCACCTTTTCTCCTAGTTAATTAGATGGAGTAATTTGAGAGCATTTTGATTCTGGGACCCCAGGAGAAAAGTGTCTTTTCAAAGTTCATAAAGTTGTTGTCTCTTTCCTTGTGCAGATTTTCTCAGTCTCCTTGCGCCATAATAGCCCGGGATTTTAGCAAGTGTAATTGGGGGAAATGGAGTTGAATTTCAAGTGGAAATGCTTTCTTTTTCGAGTGCTAAAACCCAGCCCTCCAGTCTGGAGTGATTTCTAGAAAGTTTAAAAACAAAGTGAACACGGTTTCTTTTTTACTCTCCTTCTCACTCCCCAAACCTCCCAAAGCAATTTGGAAGTGTAAACGCAAACTTGAGAAGGATTTCTTTTTTCTTTCTTTCTTTCTTTCTTTCTTTCTTTGGGATGGGGGGAGGTGAGGAGGGAGTAGGACCAGAAAATGAAATAAAAAGCAAAGAGGCCTTGAAAGCCTGGAGAGGTTACTGAGGAGACAACATAACAGTTGTTGCCGCTGACATATTTTTTTATAGCCAGCCAGTGACCTTTGCAAACGTCTGAAGGCAATTTGATTAGTTGTTACCTTATTTGGATTTAGAGAGTAAAACTTGTCATCTTAATTGCTAATTACTCTTTCTCTGGGGGGCGAAGGAGGTGTATGTAGAGAATGGGCTTCACCTGAGCTAAGGACTTTGGTAGATTTTGAAAATCAAGTAATAAAACAATAGCAGAAAAGATTCCTTTTGAAAACCGAGGCTTTGGGAGGGGGGTGAAAAACAGTGGCCCAGTGACCCAAGGCCTCAGGGACTCCGTAGTGTCTGGAAACTCCTAGGTTCCGGCTTGGGCATCTGGCCTGGGTCGGGGCCCGGTCTGTACCAAGCCTGGAGCTACGCTGCGGGGTGGGGGGTGTTCCGGCTGCTGCTGGGGGTCTAGCCTCTGGGCTCAGGACTGCTTCCGGGTGTCTGTGTGCCCCGCTTCCTTGCTTGCTTTTGGACTAAGTGTTAAGGATTACTTCGGTAATTAGATAGTTTCTTATCAGAGGGGAGGTGGGGGATGGAGCTGGAGACAGAACTTGAAATGCTTCCACTTTCCCAGCTGCTTCGAAAATCAATCGGCTAGGCCTCTCTGCGATCACTTAGTGACATTTTTAAAATGGCATCAAATACAGGCCAGGATGAGGGACTTTCAGCTGTGGAGTGTCCAGTGAGAACGGTGAAGAGCCCAGTTGAGGACGTTCTGCTCGCCTCCGTGGACTTTACCCCGCTCTCTCTGGCTTTTACTGCGTAGCTTCAGAGTTGGGGAGCGCACTTTCTATGGTAGAGTTCCAGGCAACCCTCGGTAGACGCTGTGTCCAGGAGCTGGGAAAAAGTCTTTCTTATAGGCTTGCTTTTATGGATGTAAGATGCCTCCTCGCAGTTAGTTAATAAATTAAAGCACGGATGACTTTAACGAGAAAAGTGGACTTTTTGGAATTCTTTTGCTTGTTGACAGGCAAAATTAATAACCATCATAGGCAAAACAGGAAAAGGAATGAGTACTGTACATTATTTTTTAAATGGGGAGAAATGATGCTGTGACGATTTCATTCTTTTACCTCTCTCTTTCTCTCTTTTTTGGCAAAACGTCTTGAATAGGCTCTTTCTTGTAACTCTCTTTCCAATTGAGCGCCCCACGGTGCCGTTGTATCTTTTTACAGCCCCTAACAACTCAACGCCAGTAACACAATTACCTTCAGATATTTATAACAAGAAATTACTTTTCTATTTTCCCTCTGTAAGAACCTTTTTTTAAAAAAAAAAAAAAAAAAGGAGGGGGAGGAAGGCAGGGAGGAAGTGGTGGAGGCTGAGCCTTGGGGACCTGCACTGGGTCAGGGCTTAAGAGGCAAGAAGCATCCCTTTGTGACTTGGTGGGTTGTTGGTAGCTTGATTGGAAGCTGTGTTGCTGGTTAGGGAGACTCGGTTTTGCTCTTTGGGTTGGGGAGAGCCAGAGAATAGAAGCCATTGTTTGCAGTCTGTAAGCTTTGTCGACCAAGCTCACCCCCTCCTGTTCATACTTTTTAAAGCAGTGAGGCAAGGTAGGCAGCGTGTGTCACAGTACAGCCAAAGGGGGGTAGATCTAAACACCAAAAGAGAAGCTAGTCACAATAAGTATGGTTTGAAGGGGAAAGTTGGGCGTGCTACTTTAGAAGTCGCAGATGAGTTCGGAGAGGAGGCTTGACTGACTGGGACTCTGGGGGAGGTGGCCATATAGGGAGAAGAGGGAACCTGAGAGTTGGGTTCTAAAGTACCTTATGGCAACTGGGGTGGTGAAATTACTTAAGGAAAGGAGGACTGTGGCCCCACAGCAGTCCCAGACTCCACACCCTTAGGTGCCTTGAAGTTCCATGGGCCCCTTCTCCTGCCTTCAGGTATCAGCCTCATCTACTATACTCTTGACTTCCACTCCTCACCCAGCTCCTCCACTGGTCCCCCTCTTCCTCTTTCCCTGGTTCTTAGAATTTTGCATAGGGGGACCTGGAGTCATCAAATTGTCCAGTTTCTCCAAGCCAGGTGGAAGAGCCCCTTAGGAGTCTAGGGACTGCTGCAGAAGAGGTGGTCACTGGAAGTGGGAATGGAGCCTTACTGGGAATTGGGTATTATGGCAGTTTGAACCCCAGATGGGCGTATGAGAATAGGACAAGTCTATGGGCCATAATCTCACATACCCTTCTCTCCTTCTGTTTTGTCTTAGGGGGAAGACTTTAGGGGTGTGCAGATGTTTGAGATCCTTTCTTGTAAGAGTGGACAGACATCCCAGAATTCAGGCAAGTTCTGTAGTGGTTGGTTTCAAAACTAGAAAGAGTCAAAACTCAGTATCTCTGAGTACTTCATTGTCGTTCAGATGGAAGGAAAGGGGGCCTTCGTTTCTGCTGATTCCAGGGTTAACTGCTAGAGGATTTTAGGACAGAAGATTAGGAATGTTGGGGTATTTTATTTGAAGTCTAAAGAGATTTTGCTGAAGCAGGATGGTAAAACTAGATGATCCTCAGGTCGGCCCAGGTGGTTGAGTGGAAGGGAGTTCTCCGTCCTGGTTCCACTTTCGGGCGGGAGTTAGGCCTACCTGGCACAGAGGCCCAGGATTAATGCCTGTTTTCTTGCTAACAGAGCCCTGTATTCGAGCCCTGTGGGATCTCACGGCCCCCAACCAGCGCCAGCATGCAAAACAGTAAGTGCCTTTGGTCTTTCTCGGGCTTCAGGCTGGGGTTGCTGGGACCAGCAGGTCAGGAGAGGGCTCAGAGGCTCCGGGCGCCTGAGGTGGCCAGGCGACAGGCTGGAGGTCAGGGACCTGCCTTGGCGTTGCCCCTCTCCCTCCCCACAGCTGAGCATAGGAGGGCGTTTGCTCTGCAGTTCTGGCTTCTGGAAGAACAGAGGCTGGGCCCTTCTGAATAGTCCTCCTGAGTTTTGTGAAGTTGCAGTAGAGGAGAAACCCCATCCCCCCAAATCCTGTAACTCACACCCCCTCCCCGCCCCTGCCCGGGCTCTGACCCCGGAGAGAGGGGCTGGGCTGAGCAGGGCGGGGCGGAGGCTTCTCCCACTTGCTGGTGGAGAAGGAGGCCCCTTTGGGTTTAGCTGGTCCTGAATGTCTCCAGCTTCTCCCTGTGCGGGGTGTGGGACTCCCCTCCCTCCAGTCACTTTCCGGACAACTCCTCCCCTCACCACCCTAGGCCTAGAAGGAAAAGGGAGTAAGGAACCCAGGTTTGAAGAGGGCCTACAGGTCGGCAGGAGGGTGGGCGCACTTGGTGCTATTATGGGCGCTGGAGAGACCAGGGTTTACTGGGCCTGGGAAGCGGAGAGGATGGTTCTCAGGCAACTGCACTTGAGTGGGTTCTGGTCCTTCGGCTCCATAACGCCTTTGATTCCTTACTTCTCCCTCTGTCTAGACCCCTGGGGCCCCCAAGCCCATCTTCCTGCGCCGTCCGTGGGCGTCGAAATATGACATAGCAATTTAGGAACCCTGGTCTTGGGGCCTGGAGGCCGAGTGAAACTAGGCCCAAATTGAGATGTGTAGTCTAAACACTGTTGAGGGGTTCAGCCATACTTGGTCTTGTAGTAACCTTCTTTTGCTGATCTGCAAAAGACCCCCAGGCCAGATCCACCTGTCCTGGAAGGGCTGACCACCCCCTTGGTGCTGCCCACGCTGGTGGACAATAATGGCAGGAAAGGGCGCGGAGGCGTCGAGCTTTGTGGCAGGCCGGATGAATGCGCACAGTCTGTGAGGCCTTGGGGCTTGGCCCAGGAGACACCTGCCTTGGAGAGGCCAATGCCTCTACCCAGCCCTCCTTGGGGCTGGGTTCTCTCCCTGGAGTGCCGGCTTCCCAGGTGCAGGTTCTCCACTGGATTCGGTCTGGGCGCACTTCCCTGAGTGTCTGCTGCTGCCTGCCTGGCTGGCCTCGAGGGGCGAGGGGGTCGCGCGCAGGCCCGCAGGGCTTTGTGCTGCCCGCTCCCGGGTGTGCGCGAAGCACGGAACATCCAAATTGACACCATATGTTTTCCTATTAGATGCTTCGCGGTCGAATTCTAGGCGCATAATCATCGCCACTGGGCAAGAGCGCCAGCCGTCCCTAGGGAAGGGACACAATGATTGAGGCTTAACCTCTGAACGGGAACTTAGAGCTGCGCTTCCTCGCTGCCATTTCGATGCTGGCAGAGGCGCACTGGCCTCGGCTCCTGGGCCCAGCACCCACCGGCGGTGGCCGCGGAGGTGGCAGGCATACTGTATTGTTATTTCTTGCAACAGGAGGAGGAGGAAGGTCTAGGATTAGGCGACCTCTCAAGTCTTGGCATTCGTAGGTTGGGGACGGCCCACGCGAGGCATGAAGTCTGGAGAGTCTCTCACTCTATATGGGGCAGCCTTTCTCTTTCTGAGAAGTCTCCCTTTAGGAGAAGGGCGGGGGTGACTCGGTAGGTGGAGGGGTAGTGGGACTTGCCAGGCAAAGGCAGGCAGTAAGGGAACTTAGAAGAAAGCACGATGTAGGCCTCGCTCTGCTGGCGAAGTGCTGCCCCCGCGCCATCTCTGAGTTCGCGCTGGGCCCAGCTCGCGCCCAGATCCCCCAAACGCCTGTCACTTCTCATCGAGTTGAGGCTCGGCCCCCCCTTGGTGATGGCCGCCCCAAGCCTTCGGCTACCCTGAAAATGCGGCTCCCCTCGAAGGGGAAAGGAGTGCAGTTCAATCTCGTCTGAGTGATCTCCAAATAGGGACGGAAAGGGTCGTTTTATCACGGTCCCGTTTGTCGTGACGATGCAGTTTCCCGGAGCGGAGCACTGTCACAAAGTGACAAGGCTGCCACAAGCGCCCCGACTGATCTTTTCAATTAGCCTTCCGTGCATGATCCGGAGCGACTTCCGCCCATTTCCAGAAATTAAGCTCAAACTTGACGTGCAGCTAGTTTTATTTTAAAGACAAATGTCAGCGAGGCTCATCATATTTTCCCCCCTCTTCTATATTTGGAGCTTATTTATTGCTAAGAAGCACAGGCTCCTGGAGTCAATTTATCAGGAGGCTCCGAGGAGAAGAGCAGAGAGCAGAGCGCAGAGCAGGGAGCCACGTCTTCGGGGAGGTCTGCTTTCTAGATCCCGGGCTGCAGGTTGGAGATTTTTAAAGGAAGTCAAAATTGGCCATTGGTTTTATTTGGGTGCTAGTAGTTTATGGGGAGGGTTACTGCAGAGAGGTGCAAATTCCCTCCCCTTCAGTCTTTAAGATTAGACAATGGGATTATGTGGTGAGATCCAAGAATAAAGGAGGGCTGAGGGTTGTCAAGGTGAGATTCCCCCCCCCCTTAGATTTTTGCTAATAATTTGTCCCCTCCATGGGGAGGGCCCTGCTGTGCTGAGGGCAGGGAGTGGCCCCAGTGGTCAGGCTCTAGGGTCTTGGCCCCACCGTGACAGCTGGAAGGAAAGCAGGTCCTCTTTGTGGATGGAACTGAGTGGTAACTGACTCTAGGTTGGGGTGCAGTGACTACAGGTTTGCCGCTTTGGTCCTCATCTCACTTCCCTTCTCTCTCTTTAAAACCCTGGTGTTTGAGCCATGCCTTCGCCAGAGTCTGGACTGCGGCGAGGCAAGCATTTCTGGACTCTAGCGTCCCAGGGCGCACTGCAGGGCAGTAGGATTTGCAGTCACTGGTCCATCACTACAGAGGTCTTGGAAGTACAGTGTGGGTAGAACTCACGGTTTGTGGTGACACCAACTAAGGATCTTTGGGAGGGTGTTTCAGATCTGGGTGTCTACACCGTGTAAGTTCAGGGGTATTTATAAAGAGGGGCAGTGGTCTGGGCGCCAGGGTGCTGGCAGCAGTGGGACATGTGAGTTTTGGCTCGTTGGCGGGTGTCTGACTCTGCGATGCTTCTGTAAGCCGGGATGGAAGTACAGCGACGGTTGGGGCTGGGCTGCCCGGTCCACTCCATGGCTGCGTGGTCCTGTTGTCATTTCTGATGGATAGCAGGGACCTGATCGCCGAGGTTGGCAGGGGCTGGCAGAGAGCTGAGGCTGCATTGTGGTTATATTCTTCCCTTCTCTCTCTCTCTCTCTCTCTCTCTCTCTCTCTCTCTCTCTCTCTCTCTCTCCTCTCCTCTCCTCTCCTCTCCTGCTTCCCACTTCCTCTGCTGTCCTCTCCTTCCCTCGCCTCTCCCTCTCCTCTCAGGTCACAGCGGAGTGAATCAACTTGGTGGTGTCTTTGTCAACGGGCGGCCACTGCCGGACTCCACCCGGCAGAAGATCGTAGAGCTAGCTCACAGCGGGGCCCGGCCGTGCGACATTTCCCGAATTCTGCAGGTGATCCTCCTGGCGCCACCCCACTTGCCGCCCCCGCGGCCCTCCACTCTCAACGCCCTCTCTTCATTTCTTACTGTAAATGCTGCTAATTATGGACCCTACCCTTACCCACTCACTGGGTACCCCCAGTCCTCACCCCATCACCCTACCTTCCCACTTTCCCTTTCCACAACCTTCCCTAACCTTTCTCAACTTGGGCCAGTCATAATAGAATCCATCTGCTTAAGGAAAAAAAAATTGTGTGTATTTTTTTAAAATACCAAGACCTCTCTTTGTTTGGCAAAGATATTCATTGTGGTACAGTTCTACCAGCTGTAATGAGCGGAGTTATATAAATTGGCATAATTTCAGCTGCCACCCTCTCCCATCTCACACTTTCCTTGGCTTTTGAGATATTTGTATTCATATGTTCTTCATAGTCACGAAGAGCAGATATTAATTTTAAAAGGCAAATGTGACTTAACCCCTCTCTAACTTCCATGTACTCAATTGGGCAAATTTTTTTAAGCAAAAATGATGACATTTTAGTTTCCTATTTCTCTGCCCATTAAGGCAAAATGCCACTTTAAGCAAAAGTCAGCATAAAAAAAAGCTTAATCTGACTTTGTTTTGATGCATCTTCAGGCAATAGATAATAAATATATATATTTTTTAAAATCCTTATAGTTTTGTTTTGCTTTTTTTAGTTCCAACTGTTTGAAAGTATTACCATATTTGTAGTTTTTAGGGCTACAAATGTAATTTTAAGAAAAAAAAACCTCTCTACAGTAAGTTCTCATACCATTGAAGGTATATTTTTGTGTTATAGACCCATGCAGATGCAAAAGTCCAAGTGCTGGACAATCAAAACGTAAGCTTGTCATTGTTTAATGCATACTTAAACAATTTTATTTTTGTCTTGAAATTATTAATAATGTGATTTTCTGTCCACTTCCCCTATGCAGGTGTCCAATGGATGTGTGAGTAAAATTCTGGGCAGGTATTACGAGACTGGCTCCATCAGACCCAGGGCAATCGGTGGTAGTAAACCAAGAGTAGCGACTCCAGAAGTTGTAAGCAAAATAGCCCAGTATAAACGGGAGTGCCCGTCCATCTTTGCTTGGGAAATCCGAGACAGATTACTGTCCGAGGGGGTCTGTACCAACGATAACATACCAAGTGTAAGTTCACAGAGAACAGTCGCCCTCCCTGCCTTATGCCCACTCTCTCTCCTCTCTGCCTTCTTCACCTTTGCCTCTTTCTGCTTTCTTCTGTTTCCTTCTTGTTCCACATATGTCTCTTCTGTACCTGGGGGTATTATGAGGAGGGCATTGACTTTCTTTTTACCATCTGGAAAATGGGAGTTTAGTGCGGGGGGGGGGGGGGGGGGGCTTATGCCCTTCATTTGCATACTACAAAAACAGAGGTCAAAGGCATCTGGGGAAAGGTCTTGAGCCAGGGCGGAAAATGAAAGTCATATTCTAGCTTCCTCTAAACGCACCTACCTGAACTTTCCCTAGGACATCAAACATCCGTTTCCACCCTAATATAAAACAAAGACAAGGAAAGAAAGCTCTAGAGTAAGTCTAAATTTGGGAGGGAGGGGGATCTTTTAATAAAGCAGTCAGTGAGGGACCCCCTTAAACCCCTAGTTCACCATTTTCATGTCCGGAGTGAGGGCTTTCTTTCCAGGAAGCGAAACCAATCACTGTCCCAGGGTGGGTGACTGGAAACATTTCAATGGATTGTTTAAAAAGATCATTCTTTAAGGGGGTGGGCAAGTAGAGATGGGGACTTAAGATGGCTTGATGCTGTTTTCAGGGGACGCTACCATTTGGTTTGATTTTGGTTTGCTTTGTAGGTGTCATCAATAAACAGAGTTCTTCGCAACCTGGCTAGCGAAAAGCAACAGATGGGAGCAGACGGCATGTATGATAAACTAAGGATGTTGAATGGGCAGACAGGAAGCTGGGGCACCCGGCCCGGGTGGTATCCGGGCACTTCGGTGCCAGGGCAACCCACACAAGGTACAAGTCAAGCACCTATCCTTGAAGCCTTTCATGTACAAAGCTCCTTGTCATCCTCACCTCCTCCTATTTCTTTCCTCCTCTGTGTTTGGGGATGTAGTGGAGACTCCTTCAAAGCCTGGCTGCATTTATTTGCAATGTTTATAGATGGTGGTGGTGAACCATCTGCTTGGTTTGGGAGTATGAGGGTTATGTGTATCAGGGATAGTATGAGGGTGTGTGAGTGAATGGTGGACAGGAGTATGTGCATGTAAGAGCAAGCCTCGTGGTGCCCTATTCAAATTTCCCTTCAAAATGCACAGAGAGCCCCCTTGCTGTAGAAGTGTGTCAAGTTAACACACTGACAGACTGCGAGGTAAACATAATTGTATCATTTTGCTTTTTGCCATAATTGACAAATTATATAAATCTGAGTAGAGTACATTTGAGAGGGTGAGTAGCTAGAAGCAGGACCAAGTTGTGAAGAGGACATTAGAGGTGGGGGTCTCCTACCACTCTCTGCCTCCTTTCCCCTTTTGTGCCTATAGGCCCTTGGTTCTCACCCTCTGTGGGTGGCTGGTACACAGAAGTGTCAGGGTGAGCATACTGTGAGCCGGACTGCAGGGGGCCTGTCAGGAGAGGCTTCTGAGCAGCGCAGGGAGTTGGGGCTTGGGCCACCCCAGGATCTCTGGGAAAGGATGAAGGGAGAAGAGTGGATGGAGGGATCAGTTGGAATCTCTCCCCCCCTTCCCCTCCCCCCAAGATAGTTTGATCAAGAAGAGGAAACAGTTTACGCAGAAGATTAATCGGTATTTGTTGTCCTCGTGACAAGGAGATAATATGCGGGATAATGGGACGTGGCTGTCTCATTCCCGGGAGCAAGACAGGGCTCAGGGGCTCCGGGCCGGGGGCGGCCGCGTGGGGACAGGCCTGTCGCTGCCCGCGTGTCCGTGCGCTCCCGGACCCACTCTGGGTGCCCGCGCCTCCACCGAGCCGTGCTAGCGAAGGGAAAATCGGTAACAGTATGCGAAATATCTGGTACAAAGGATGCTTCTGTCACTCGCAAGAATTTGTTATGGGAACAATCCTGTCGCTCTGTAATTGCTCATTAGAGAACGTTTTGTTTCTCATTAAGGCGACATGAATAAGCGTCTAGTTGAAGGAGACAGCTGTAGAAATGTTCCACAAGAGACCTCTGGACACGATTCGGCACCAATTGCCAATTAGACATGTCAGTTTTAAGAGCAGAAAACAATATAGGACGGACACTGGGAAGATAGGGAGCAAAGCGCTCGCTTTTTGTTTCCCAGCGCGGCCCGCGCGGCCGGCAGAGGCCTCCTGACGCGCAGGGTCCGGGCTCCGCGACTACCCCGCCCGCCGCCGTTGCCGCCCGGGCTCCTCTCGAAGCCCGCACCCGGGGAGGCACGGCTGCACGGTCCGCACCGGGGGAGGCGCGGCTGCTAGCTCCGCCCGGGCTGCTCCTGCCCTTCCGAGGCCCTGGGAACCCCGCAGTGCAGCGAGCGCAGACCACCCCACCCCTGCCGGACCTGTGAAACTGCAAGATCCGCACAAGTGCACTCAGGCCACACTCAGATAATGGTCCCCAGGCACTTTGCACCCCCAGGTTGTCGGCCTGTCCATTCCTGCCCTCTCCTCCCAGCCCTCAGCAAGCCGAAGTCCTCACGACCCTTTTTGTAGGGTCTGGCCAGCTTGGCCTAATCAGTGCCGAGGAGGTGGGGGGATGGGGCGCAGGGGTCCAGGCCTGACAGAGCCTCGAACCTCCCCTTTAGGGGCCGTTTGGTTGTGAGGTCTCGGAGTGACTCGGGCCCTAGGGGAGTACCCCTCTTTTCTGTTGGCCGCGCCAGACAGAAGCCGGGACGGAAAGCTGTGCCAGTCCCACAGCCCCGCCAGAGGTGGCGCCCGATTAAATGTTCCGCCTGGAAGCGCGAGAGGGCGGGAAGCTGGGGGCTGGTGGCGACGGCGAGGGCGGGAGATGGCGCTCCTTCAGGAGCTAGTAGTATATGTTAGCTGCTGAGTTGTTAGGGAACTCTGGATCCCTTAGACTGTCATCCCGTCCCCCCTTCAAAAAGTCTCACTCGAGGACCCTATCCCCATGCCGCCCCCGCTGCGTTGAGAGCGCGCGGGAGAACAGGGCGTGGAGTTGGTGTGAGGGACGCGGGGGGCCTGGCTGCTGGGGAGCATCCGCTGACGTTCTCGGGGGCTCCTTAGCATATTTGGCGCAAAAGGGAGTCCCACCCCCCTCCATGGCCCCCTTCCCTGGCCCTGAGAAGCCTTTCTTGGGTTTTAAAGAGTCCATTACCCCGAAAGCATAAGGCGAGGTTAGGTCTCAGAGGGAGACAAATATGGTTTCCATCTGATCAACGCCATGCGGCGGTGAATAAAATCGTGACGACGTGGGCTGACAACAAGAGACAACTCTATCCAGCCCCAATTCTCCAGCGATTTGGTGGTTTTAGGGATCACGGAGACACTTTTTCTTATCTCCTCCCCCCCC